TCCCCTCTAGCTATGGCCCCCGAATAGTATATACTTAGTCAATCAACATGCCAGTGCTTCTGCATTTACTTGTGAAAGGCAAATAGCAATAGAGCTAGAACCACAATGCACTTGGCCAGGCAGCAGAAGAGAAAACACACAACGGACATAAATAGAGAGAGAACCAGAGGGATGAGAGAAAATAATTCATCCGCACTGTTTGGAACTGAACGACATCATTTGCCTGCACTAAGCACTTCACTATTGTTTGTGGTTTAACCTAAAGATGCTTAAAATCCCTGTTTTCCTCTAATATCGCATATACAAATGTTCATATAATGCACCAATTCTTTGCTTAGCCAAGATTAAGTGAAGTGATTGATGATACTGACTACTAATGTGTTTGTTTCCATGAAACGTTTTATAGTCTTCGAAGACAGCTTTATTTATAATGCATTCAAGCTATGTCAGCTTTTTTTCCCTATCGACTCTCACTACTAGGTATGACAGGCAATCAGAGGCAAGTGCTTTTGATGTCATTTATGCTTACCATGGGAGATTCTACACTGTGCTGCACAGTGTTATCAAAACAATGAAAGTAAAGCTTTTCTAAAGAGGATACACTAAGCTATTAACTTAGAGTAACAACTCCATAAATACCGATATCTAACTTTCCATTCAGGATCTTAAGGGTATCTATAATTCCTATTTATTTAGACAGGAAATATGACATTTAATAGGAACCCCATTAGAAGCTGTGAGTAACTTTGAAGATACTCATTTCTAAACTGATATCTTCCTTGCCCTCGCACGCATGCAGGCACACATTGCCAAGTGTTGTTTTCCAAATATCTGGCACCAACTTTAGTCCTGGCATAACCGTTTAAAGGACATTCAGTGACTGGATTCATTCTCTGTGTCCTGTACATTGTTTCAGCCAAGATTTGGATCTTAACCGTACGTCTCAATGTCAGCACTTGTACCTGGTATGAACAGAAAGAACCACGGCCGGGTCACGCAGACACAAGGTAGGCACCGTGTTTGTAGGGCTCTCCACTGAAGTCAATTTTGATCTATGCAGGAGAATAAAAGGAGTCCTCCCATACAGCTTGTATTGTAGGATGTAAGCTTAAATTGGTAGGTGTCACACTTGATGGGAGGCCATCTTTGGCCATTATATAGCCTAAAGAATAACAGCTAGATAGCATAGAGACCTCTGAATGTGTTCACTTTATCTAACCCCTTCCTTTTGTACAAATGCTATTAAAAACATTTCCTCTGCTCTATCCTTTCCTGCAAAGATGGTCTCCACCCTGGAAGACTTCACTAACAAGCTAGAAGTGGCACTACAGCTTGTATTGTAGGTCCAAAAAATTCCCAGCCAACTCCAGTTTTGGCAAGTTTGGCATAAACAAAATGTTCTGTGCATTTTTTTTAAGCAGGCATGAATATTTTTCATGAACATTCACTGCCTCACAACTAGAGGGACAAATATTCACAAAAAAAAGGTTCATGCACAGTGTAAGCAGGCCTAAGGATATAGTGAGCCTGAAAACGATCCTATGGCAGCATCCAGGACTGTGTAAAGGGGGCTGCAGAAGAGCTGCAGGGATGAGCTCACCCCTGCCCCAAGCTTTCCCCCCTCCCCAATGGGCATTCACTCCCCACAGTGAGAGCAGAAGTGGGGGACTTAAAGTCCTCTAGGTAGGTAAGAAGTTTACTCCCCTCTTCACCCTCTGTTCCCCTTTGTGTTCAGCTGAGATCCTGGTTTTCTCTGATTAAAAAAAAAACCCCAATTTTTCAATTTAAAAAATGAACCCCAAAATCCCTGTTTTTCCAGGATCAAAATGAAACATCACTAATATATATGCGCGCGCGCGTGTGTGTGTGTGTGTGTGTGTGTGTGTGTGTGTGTGTGTGTGTGTGTGTGTGTAGTGGTGTTTCATTTTACTCACAGAAAAGTGAGGTTTTGGGGTTACTTTTTTTCATCCAAAAATTGGGGAATTTTTTTTTTTTTAAACCAGAGAAAACCATGATCCCTGGCGTTCAGCAACACATGACCTCCTCTTTATTTCCCCCTCCCGCTTCCTTACCTGCCACTGGCCCAGGATGAATGGGGGAACTGCTCCAGCCAAGCTGCACAGAGAGCTGGGGTTGGGTGGTGACAGCTGTGGCAGTGGTGGTGGCAGCAGGTGGGTTCCCGTCCCTGCTTCCTGCTCCGAGGCTGGTAAGGAAACACCCGGGAGGAAATGGAGCCGGTAGGAGGAATCCACCCACTGCTGTTGCTATCCTTAGCTGAGTCCAGCTCCAAAAAGGGCCCAGGTGGAGCAGGGCAGGAGCAGCTGTAGAGTCCCTTCTTCCTCCCTGCAGCAGTGGTAGTCAAGAGAGTGGGAAAATGGGAGGGGATGAGACATGTCATGGAGGGGAAAAGGAAGTGGGAATTCTTTCTTCACAAATTTAGGAAAAGTCCTATCCTTGCAATGTCAGCTGAAAGCGCAAGGTACATCCGTGCCTCTGCGCCCCCTCCTAATCTGCCCTTCCGCAGAGGCTAGAAGTGATCAGAGACTGGGATAGCCATCCTACAAAAAGTAGACCCCTCATAGGTAGGCCTTTATAAAATCAGACTGGACAACAGTAAGGGTCTGAGCAACAGGCTGCTCTTCTGCGCTTCTGGCTGGCTTAGAAGGCCTAACCCTGACTCTGGTGTTTGATCTTGGTTTCCAGCCTCCGACTTTGAACAGCCACCAAAAACAGTTCAGAGTTGTAGACAAATCTGAGCATGTAAATAAAATATTGAAAAGTGTAAGATGTCTCACAGTGGTGAAAAATCTCTAAAAGATAGTGGAGGGGATTTTGGAAGGCGAGTACCAAGCATCTGAAATAGAAATGATAGGTAAAAGTACAGTGCAAGGAATAATAAAGTTACCATTTATGATTTAGATTTAGTTTCAAATTTCATCACAGTTTTTTTGTCCTTGTAAAAGCAAATCATTTAATGGGAAAACTTTTCCTATTTAATTTTTAAACCATTTTACTTCATATTCCTCGTTGCACTTCATCAGTGGAATCCTTTGTACTAAACTGTGTTAACATACATAAGGGGAAATGTTTTGAATAGCTGAAGAAGATTAAGGAAAGAGTTTAATACAACGGTACAGTATTAAAACACTAAAAGTACATTCATATAAAACAGGTTGATAAACTAACAATGTGATTTTGGTAATAAGCCAATAGGGTATAGATACTTCCTCCAGGGTGCCATTTATTTTGTATTACTCCAGTTAAACATTTCCTGATAATTATAAATGTTTTGAATAGCTGAAGAAGATTAAGGAAAGAGTTTAATACAACGGTACAGTATTAAAACACTAAAAGTACATTCATATAAAACAGGTTGATAAACTAACAATGTGATTTTGGTAATAAGCCAATAGGGTATAGATACTTCCTCCAGGGTGCCATTTATTTTGTATTACTCCAGTTAAACATTTCCTTATAATTATGTATTTTTCCCTTTTTTTTTTTTTTTTTTTTAAAGATATTACAATGCATAAATTATTTGATCATTTGTTAGGCACTGGAAATTAACATAGCTTCTCAAAGGGAATTGAGAAGACTGCCTTGAATATTTATTCATATAATTTCATACAGCACTTTCAAATTTAAAAATGTAATTAGTGCAGAACACTGAAAAGAATAAAACAATTATGGCCCAAACCAGTTAAGATTGGTAAACGGTAGAAAGTGGCAAACACCCACAATTCAAAGTTGCCATTAAGAAGCCCAAACCAGATACAATATATTTAGACTACTATAGGGAAGCTGTCTTAGTACTGGTTGATATTTTGGTTAATATGCCCGTATTATTTAGTAATAAACATAATTAAATGAATTAAGACCTGGCTGACAACATACCCAAAGCAGTAAATGAAAATCATCAAATAGGACATTTCCAGTGGGGTCCTTAAAAAAAAAAAAAAAAAAAAAAAAAAAATCAGCGCTATGCCTAATGTCATTTAATATCTTTATTAATAATGTGTAAATAACTATAAAAGCACTGGTGATGTATATTTTTGCAGATGACAAATCACTGAAAGAGTGGTAAATAATAAAGACGACAGGGCTGTCATTAAAGGCCCCTGCTACATGTTACATATATTATGCAATTTAGTGCTTAATGGCACAATAAATTTAGACGGGCCACACATGCGAAGTAAGACCAGCAACAAGTGCAAATTAATTATCGCACAATAAAAATGACCACCCAGCTACAAAAAGAGCCAACCAGCTATGAAGTTATGAAGTTAGTGCTTGAAAATATTCATATAGAGCATTACTCATTTGGTAACACAGGCATGTTCGCAAAAAAAGAGGGGGGGCGGTGCTTTAATACAGCTAAATGCAAAGACATACGTTTAGGAACAAGAAAGTCAAGCCATGTTTGTAGAATGGAAACTGGATTTTGGAAAGAATCTAGGAGATGTAGAGGGCAAGCAAGTCACTCCAACTGTCCAAATGTGATACTACTATAGAAAGGATTAATATATTCCTTGTGTCAATAAGAATCATTTTTATCTATTATAAAGCACTGGGAAGTCCTAGACTGAGCACAGTATTCTAGCATGATGAAAAGAAAGTTTCTAAATGGGAGGACACAAAAGAGCCAGCAAAATTATCTAAGGATTGAATAAAATACTTTATAATGAGAAATGCAGGGTATGGACATGTGATCAGTTTACCACTAGACAGAGGCTTTACCACACGCCAGCTGCCCTGTGGCATGTGCTTGTGTATAGAAACTTACCCAGAAAGAAAGTTGTTAAAATGTTTCCTGCAGTTTAAATAAAATATATGATTTTAAAAAGCCCCTTTATTTTGTATGGAAGTTATGGATATGAGTGAAATTTGATTGTATGAAGGAAACACAGTGAAACTTTTAAAAAGTATAAATACCTGAAGGAAAATTATAGGTTTTATTCACTTCTCCTTTGTACAAGCAATGGGTGCCAATTTCTTCTCCGTTCTTGCTTATCATATCTCCTCACCAGTGCAAACCGTTGCTACCAATAGCAACATAATAATATAGTCAAAGGTGTTCTTTGTACTAAGAAAATGGAAAGCGTCTTCATTGCTGAATCAGATACAGAGAAAAAAAGATGGGAGTGAACATTATTCAGGGAAAATGGTCAAGCCAATTCCTGGTTTGATGAGTTCTTTAAATCACCTCTTTCACTTGCAAATTTTCAGTAACCGGTGCTTCCAGAGTTGACCATTTAGCATGTGTTCATATTAACATGCCACTTGGCACAGTAATGGCATTTACATAATAGTCTCTTAAGCATCATCTGTTTCCATCTGCCTTGGATAGTTATTTCTGCTTTACTTGAGTATCAATGAGTTCAGAGTCAGCCCATAAAATAAAACTTTATACATCTTTGTAGGGCCTGAAACAGATATACACTTCTGCAAGTATTTGTAAGGTGGAATTACTATGCAAAATACCTTTCTGCAAATAGCTGTCAGCTCACAGCTGAAATTACAGGCTGCAGCTAAAGATTTCTTCCATTTTCTCTATTTTCTGATTTCCAGGTATTTAATAAATATGCAGTACCACAGTTTAATATTGCCATTTACCAAGAAGAGAAAGTTGGATTTAAATATCTCAAATAGACTGAGCTTTATGAATATGAGTCAGGCTTTATGAATACAAGTCCTGGAACACAGGAGCAAATGTACATGCAGCTAGACACATACAGCAGCAGCAGGTTTGATGCCTATCAGCATGGATTGGTTTTCTTTTTCCTAATGTAGCTTGAGTCCTTGCAAAGCATCACTGTGCCTGAAAGCAGCCAGAAAAGCTCATATTTCATCAAGTCTCTTGAAATTAAGCTAATACACTAAAAGGAGTCCTTTTCTCCACAGGATATGAAGGCTACTGGCATCGTGATTGAAAGGCAGTTGATGTTTTTAAAGCACTTACGGATATTGAGTTCCTCTGAGTGAACTGTTTTGCACATTGTCTTAATCTTTCAGTTTGTGAAGATGGATGAAAGAGTGAGGATTCAGCAGCTGCACAGATTACTGGTCATGTTCGCTCCACTCCGGCTTTTGAGCAGTTGTCATAAGCTGGCACTTAACTTTCGTTGCAAAAAAAAGGAGAGTCCCAGCAGCGCCACAAAAGCCTGCTGTTGCGCGGCTCTTGCCACTTTGGAGAAGTTCAGTGGAGCAGTCAATTCTCACGGCAACATGTACTTACAGGTTTCCAACCATTTGTCCTTTAAAAGATACGCATCCTCTGAATTGATCATGACATTTCTTAGGTATTGACATTTTACACCTTTTCCTCGTTATGCTGCGAGCACCTCAACTATTTTGGGTTTGAGTAAGTGAGGCACAAATCAGTGTTAAATGGCATGCATTACTCCCAAAATCTGCTGACCGTCACCTGCAGCTTTTTCACAGCTTAGAGACTATTTTACTAGCCCTGCATTGGCTGCTATAATGTCTTCCCTTAAGCAGGTCTTGAATAATTTTTCTAAAACATTATTCCATTTCTTATAAAGAACTATGCCACCAGACAAGCATCTAAACACAAGAGCTGTGTTACAATAACAGGCTTTGAGTATTCCCGTTAACTGAACCCTTTCATGCACCCAAGAGCAAAGCGGATCTCATTTACAAAGGTAAATCTGAAGCACAACCATCGAGGACCCATGAAAGTACTCACAAGTAATGTATAAGAATCTGGCCTGAAATAATGAAATATTAAAGAGAAAAAGCTACAGTATTTTGTATCACTAATGAGTCATGGCCTCTGTAGCTCTTTAGAAACCATGGAAATCATCATTTCAACTGTTCAGTCCTGAATTTAGACTAGACCTACCCCACTGCAGCATCAACTGCCAACACTAGTGATGGTCTCCTTTCTGCTGGATGCCATAAAATTCCTTTAAGTGGTTTTCATTTGGGACTTTTCAGCTGGTATGGTACAAACGGGATTCCCCCAGTTTCCCCCATGCACAAAATCCAATATAAACAATTACAGCCAGTCCATAACCCAACTTCCATTTTTCTTAGGCTGAGTTTTAGGTCCCAATCTCATATGAGGTTGCTGAGGCTAAATTTCCAATTCCTGAATATTGAATTTGAGTAAAGAGCACAGGCACAAGCCCACAAGAGAGTCTCTGAATAGCTTTCTCTCTTCCTATATGTCATCATAACACCTGCCAACTAGGCAGGCAAGCTTCTTTGGGTAGATGTGATATCTTTTATTAGACCAACCAAGTAGTTGAAACTTTTTTCCCCAACTTCTCACCTGAATACTAGCCAGATTAGGATATTTTATTACAGACCTTGCCATGACAGCCCCATCACAGCAGCAGGAGGTGGGAAGTTGGGCAGAGAGGGGAGGGGGGCGAAGTCAGTTATCTATCCAAACTACCTGTGCTGATCAGGCTGTTTTTGATGTCTTCATTTTACAACTCATCTGACAGAAGGTAATAAATACAAAATACTGCATTACCAAATTTCAATTTAAATCTCAAGCATCTAATGACTTTTCACAAGGTGCTCTAACTAATAGTCTATAATTTATAACATCATTAAAATTTCCTGATTGTAATTAATTACCCATCAATAAAGTCCTTAGACTTCACTGAACTGCTAATAACGTGGACAGCATTTCATTATGGAGCTCACATGCCGTACTTTTTATTTTTAAAACACACAAACAAAAATTAGCCTCCAAATTTATGTTCCAATCTCAGTGATTTCAAGTCAGCACCTTCCTTATACAAGACATGAAGACTCGGGGCTCTTATTAAGTAGCCGGTTTGTCTTAAATCATTGTCATAAACACCTAGATGACAAATGGAAAACTAAGGCTCAAAGATAACTCTTCGCACAGAATTTAAATTATGCTTTAACTGCCTTGAAAGAATGTGATATTTTCTTGAGAACATTTCACAAAAAATAAAATGTTTCATTTTCCTCAACATTTTTACTTGACAAGTTTTCACTGAAAAACAATAACACAAAACCATAGTTTTCATTTGCCCCCCAAAATAGATTTTATTCCTTGTTTGGGAAGTTATTTCCACTTCACTGAAGGTGCAGTTCCTGCAATTTTTTTGCAAGCTTTCTTAAAAAGTGAATAATAGTACAGTACACGCTTCGGTTTGAGTTTGCATTAGTCACGTTGAGATGCATAGATAGAAATTTCCTGTTTAATGAGTGGGTGAGGGGAGAGGCTGGATGGTCTTAAAATAGGGAATTTCATGCTGCTGAGAATTCATTTTCTGCAGTCTGCCTTTAAACCTCCTATTCCAAAATGCTGTGCATCACAGAACACGCAGTGATATTAAATATTTCATATCTCTTTTTATTTCAGTGCATCTCATACACTGGATATAAGCCATCCCAGTCACTCTTACTGTTTCTAAGGTGGGACATTTTTCTCATACCTTAGGAGTCAGTGAATGGGTGAAGTCCACTACTTTCCATCAAAATTATCTTTGTTCAAAAGACACAGAGTGGAGAGATGGTTATTTTTTTCCTTCCCTTAGTTGGTTAGTTCTCCCCATTCTGAAAAAATAGAAGAGAAAAAACATTTTGCAAGTCAATTCCAGATTTTCTAGTACATCATATAAAGCAAACCACAAGTCAGCATGTTCTCTTGCTGTATACTGTGCAGAGTCTAGTCCATCTCCAACCGGGTTACAAGAAATTGTATACTATGCAATGTCTATGTGTTTTCATCTATAACCAAATCACATTTTGTACCACAAAAAATTGTTTTTTCAAAATGTCCCTATTGCTAAGCACCCTTCCTAGCCAAAAATCAAACATGGCCAAGAAATACATGCAAGTATCTCCAAAAGTTACTGGTGAATGGTAGCCTTCGTCTTAATTCTTTTTATGCAACACCCCCATTAAAGCTACCATTTCTGATTGCAGAAATGTCTTCACTATTTTATGAAAATCAAACATAGACCTCCAGCAAAGTGGATGCTGTTACAGTGTCTGAACAATACTGTGAAAATATCACAGCTTTTGTAGCAAAGGCAAATCAGAAACCATAGGAACATTTAATTCAGTAGTAACGTACTAGAAAGCTACTTGGCAAGGAATCCAGGGCAGCAAAGGAGTTAAATTTGTACCACTATAACACAAGTGAAAAAAAACAAACAGTAAACAGGTGTTTACTTAAAAGGGTAAAAAATCTGAATGACGGCTGATTGCTGGTCATTCATTCACTTCGCTGTCTCAGGTGTTAAAGCTTGAACCGTTTTTAACTTCTGTTTCTGTAACAGGGCAGACAGTTTGTCTTTGTCTAACCTCACTGCTAAGCCGATATTGCTGCACCCACTGCTGACACCCATCGTCAGCAGTAGGTCATTTCCCCAGATAAGTCCTTGTTTTATCCAAGCCGATTTGCTCATACTTAGGAGCGACATGGCACAGTGAATGCAGGGCTGACACCATCTCTCTAGGCGTTTCTAGCAGCATTAGGTTAGAAACTTAACAGTTCTTGATTAGGCTCCTTATTCAAGATGGCAGCGGTCAAGAAGGGATCCATGTACAAATCGTGGTTGTTACACTTTAGACATTATAAAATGGCACACGTCTTTTCCTGGCTTGCAAAGACAATTAAAGAAAAGGGAAGCAATAAATGTAGCATGGATTTTCCCCTCCTTTCCCATCTGCAATATATTCAACTAGAACTTTTTCTCTGAGAAAATTCAAAGGACAAAGGCTTTGAAAAATGAGCCCTGAGCTCAGCCCGTGGTAGCAGTGTCACTGCCTCCTGTGATATAATCTTGTTTCTATGTAGACGGCTGATTCCACTGGGAAGGTTTATTTCATTGCCACTTACTATTAAAAAAGCACAAATGCAAATGGAGTAAAATATGTTACCCCAACTTCCCAGAGACAAAGCAGCTCTTAGAAAGCAATCTCAAGGTCGAGAGTGAAGCTTCTTTAAGATATATGAGGTCAAAAATACGTACATTGCAGGTCCCAAAAACATAGAGCAATAACAAGATGGAAATGCTAATTAGTGTTCAGGCGGACGGCCAAGATTTTTATTGACTTCAATAGTTGGAGCTATTTATTGCTCCAGTAATTCCAGGGTAATCTCAATATTTAGACAGCTCAGGAAGTCAACTGACAGCTATTTAACCCTCAATTTTTCTCTTAAAGCAGCAGATTTTATCTGTGTGTAGGAATGCTAGGATGATGCAGCTGGCTCTCCATGCTGCCATCTATCATGCATACTTCCCCTTCTGTCTGGGACACTGACCCTAGCCACCAGTGACGGTCAGGTGTTGAAGAAGTCTGACTCACTACCCACCACATCCCTTAGGGTTGTGCAACTCATCACCAACTACAGCTCTCATCTGGCACTTCCTGCCATCTGCCACTCCAGATCTCACAGAGCTCTGCTTTTTCCAGCTCACTTTGCCAGCCAGCCAGGCCATTTACTTCAGAAAGGTGATTTGGAGAGAAGGAAAGAAATCCCTTAGTTGTTAACGTGCTCTGAGTAAGGACACCGATAGAAAGCTATCGTGATAAGAGTGGTACAGATGTAGAATCAATGCGTTCTACAATGAAGGCAATGAAAATGGATCAGGGCCTGGGGCACTTGACTTTTGAGGAGAGACTAAGAGAACTGGGCTTATTTCATCCAGAGAAGAGAAGACCAAAGTGGGATTTAATAGCAGCCTTCAACTCCCTGAAGGGGTGTTCAAAAGAGGATAGAGCTGGACTGTTCTTAGTGGTGGCAGATGGTAGAACAAGGAGCAATGGGCTCAAGTTGCAGCAAGGGAAGTTTAGGTTAGGTATTAGGAAAAACCTCTCTCACTAGGATGGCAGTAAAACACTGGAATGGGTTACCCAGAGAGGTTGTGGACTCTCCATCCTTCAAGGTTTTTAAGGCTTAGCTTGACAAAGCCCTGGCTGGAATCATCTAATTGGGGATGGTCCTGCGCTGAACAGTAGGTTGGACTAGATGACCAGCCGAGGTCCCTTCCAACCCTAATTTTCTATGATTGACGGAAATAGATCAAATATGAGTTATGCCAATCTTTCCACAAGAAGGCATCCACAGCCAATTTCCCATTGCACCAGGAGTTTCAAAGAGTAACTCATGAGTTTGGAATTGGGAGCTTAGCCAGTTCTTAAGACACTGGCTTGCTTTTTGTCTGAAAATCAGAAATCCTTTTCACATGTGATGTTTTAAATGAATAGTTTTCATTGGATTATAAAACACCAAGACCAAACTGGCTTTGAGTCTCATATCCCCTCAGCTGGAGATGGAACTTTTGATTGAAAGTCTCAACATGAAGGATTTGTGTGTGTTTGGAGAAGAATTAACATCCACAAAGATATACTGCTCTGGTTCTGAAAACAGCATTACATCCACAGACTATAAATTAAAATTTGCTTTTGTCATTAATCCCCCTGTTTGAGAGCCTGTGCAGTTTCAGATTCAACTGAGAATGCAAAGTAACCTGGGAAGGAAGTGAATGGGTACATTTACAAGGATGAACTAGCCTAACAGCCCAAAACCTTTTTATTGCTCTTAGGAAAACCCCTATCCCAGGGGTTTCATAGCATTCTATCACCAAAACCTCATAAAGCTGTACAAGTACTTCCTTCCTCTCTCTGTTAGAAGGGTTAATTAAGTACCATGTTATTGCAACTTTTACCAGTACAGTCATGGAAGGTCAAGATAGGTATTCTGCCTAACGCACCACTAAAACTATAAATCACACTTGGCCAAGCGATACACAACCCCTTCCTTATTATCTACTAGGGCTGTGCAAAGCTTCAGTTGCTGATTTGATTTGGGGGAGATTCGGCCTGATTTGGTGGCCAAATCTCCGAATCTGAATTGAATCAGCAGACCCATTAATCTCTCCGAAATGAATTGGAAGCCTCCAAATTGATTCAGAGAGATGCAATGATTCAGCCATAGACACAGCTGTATTTGTTTTTTCTATCTACCTAGAAATACCAGGCATGGCTTGTGAAAGCTGAAATGGTGAGGCAGATGGAGCGTCCCACAGGAGCATGGGGCGGTCCCCCATGCACTTGGCAGTGGATCCAGAAGTGGACCAAAAGTACTTCTGGTCCACTTCCGGGTCTCCCCCCACCCCCTGGCTCAGTGACTGGTGCCTCCTGGGTCTGGGGTGCACCCGAGGTCCCCCTGTGGCTAATTGCTCAGCAGGCAGGTCCCCACGTACTTGGTGGCAGACCCAGGAGTGGACCAGAAGTACTTCCAGTCTACTTCTGGGTCCGCTGCCGAGCACACAGAGGTCCCCCCCGCGCTCCCGTGGGGCGCTCCATCTGCCCCACTATCTCAGCATTCACAAGCCATGCTGGTACCTTGAGGTATGTAGAAAAAACATATAAAGCTGTATCTATGGCCAAATCACTGGTTCTCCAAATCATAATCGAATCTTCAGATTCGGCTGAATCAATTTGGGACAGTGATCCGAATCAGCGAATTGAATCCCCAAATCGGGCTGAATTCAAATCCGAATCAAATACCAACCACTTCACACACCCCTATTATCCATGTATCCTATAACTTTTCATCTCTTCCCGTAGTCCCTGGTATCTGTAAGCAGGTTTCGCATTTTGTCATCTCTCAAGTCTTGCTCAGTTTCCTGCTTTACAGCCCCCTGTCTTCACAGGCTTAAAATAAGCTGTCTCCCAAAGCTGCTCAAAGCTGTTGTACCAAAACTTTTCTAAACTAAAAATGGGTTTAGAATGGAAAGAAAACAAAACAAAAAACAAAATTCTGATTTTACAGCAAAGTAATGCATTACCATAAGTCAAAAAACCTAGTCTTCCCAAATATTTCAATAAAAAGTCAAACTCAACACCCTACACATTTTATTTTTCTCCTTCCTTTTCCTCTCTCTCTTCCTCAGTTTTCTTAACATGGGTGACTTGGGATTTTTTGCCACAAGATATTTATGTGGTAAAGTTGATACAGCTATGCTATTTTAAAAGAAAATACACTATATGTTTCAGGAGCAACACTGACCCATTTTCAGTGTGTTGCTAACTAAATGTATAGTATGCAATATAATTCATAAAAGAACCAATTTGGGGTCCAAAGAAACACCATAGTGGCTTTTAAAAAAATAACTTTACCCTGGAAAGTTTTGAGATGGCTTAAACAGCCACATTTGAATCCTCATTTCAAAATCTCCAAATCAGACTGTTTGGATCCAGGTTTCAGTTTGATCAGGTAAAAAAGTGGTTAGTTATAAATGTAGGTGTGGATTTCAAATCTTGTGCAACTTCTAAGGTTTTGTAACTCCTAAGGTCTTCAGATCCAAGTTCCTAGCATAGTATCATTGTTACTTAAAACCTTCACCAAGTTACCCAACTAAAAGAAGCACCTGATAACTGACATTTACACAACACTTTTGATCGATCCAGATATTCTGAAGTTCTAACGTGTGCTACAAGAAGCCTGAATCACCATTACAATAACTGATTATAAATACAAATCTACAATTTTTTCATATGCAGATGCTCACAAACACAAAGACAGAAACACGAGCAGC